GGAACTGCTAGCATGGTAGTTCTTCCCAAAAAAATTTGAATTTGTTACCTTTTTTGCCAGTGCATCGGCTACTTTATTTTGCTCCCTGTAACTATGTCTCACCCCACATTACTAGTTGATGCTATTATATAAAAACTTACAGTTACTAACTTTGTACGTAATTTGATATTTTTATAGTTGAATTAGTGCATATAATTTAAATTCTTACCTAACGCACCCTCTTTGGATGTTGTGAACTTGTGATGCCTCAAAAATTTTATTGGCCTCGTATGATCTACAGACGTACTAGTAATTTTTTACTTAACTGATTTCCCTTTTGGTTCTATTTTAATTTTCAAGAGAACATACACGACAGCTGTGAGCATATATGATGTATGTGTGTTTTGTTGTCATTTGACAAATCACAACCAAAGCTTAAAAATTGAGAGGTCCCATTTTGCATGTTCTAATGTGGATAAAGGTAGTCTTTCTGGGTAAAAATCAACAATGCATGTTTTTAAATCAACAATTTAAATAAAATCAACAATTTTCAAGTTTTTAAAAACTAATTTAGGACAATTTTGGGTAAAAATTTTCTTTTACTGACAAAACTTCAACTTTTCTTCAAATAAAATGCATGTTCAGACACAACTTCAATTTTCAAAAATTATTTTTCAACACAACTTAATTATTTTTTTCAAGTTTCAATCAAATTTACGTTCAAACACTAGTTAAGACACAATTATATGTAATTCTAGTTTATGGTAAATGTTAGTACAATATTTTATAATATGAATACTGATTTTCATCACTAAGTTCATAGAGAACTTTTTCATAAGAGGATAATTCGAATGTTTTTCTTCCTATTTTTAATCATGCGGAGTCCCAAAACCACTAGCTCGATTAACTCGGGTTCATGTTTGAATAAAGTCCATTATGAGAGATTTTAGCACTCCCCTAAAAGGGTCGGACTCTATTCTCAAGGTTCAAACCTAAATTTTGTGGTTACTAGTGTTTAGGAGACAAAGAACTTTTACTAAAAATATTTGGGACCAGTTTGGACATAGATTTTCATTTTTTTTTTTTTTTTAAAAGTTGATTTAGGTGAAGTTTATTGAAAATGTGTTTGAACATGAATTTTGAGGCAAATTTTGGCATGTTAAAAAGTTTATTTTTCCCATTTTTCAGCTAAAAAGTCCCAAATGTTCATGATTTGGCCCAAAAAAAAGTAGTAAGCTATATTTGGAATTTGAAGTTTTGATTTTAAAAAACTCCCAAAAGACTAAATTAATTCTACAAATAAATATATATTTGAATTTATTTTTAAAAAAGAAAAAACTTCCAAAACTTATGGCCAAACGCCTACCTGATAAAAGGAACTTTTAAAATTACACCATACCCCTTGATCTTCTAGGTGCTAAGATACGAAGAAATCAAAGAAACTTCTAGCTGTCCATAGATTTTTGTCCTTTTCTCCGGAAGATTTTTTAAAAATATATTTGTCCATAAAAATTTATAACTTTTTGAAGATTTTTCACAAATGAGTTTTTCAAAAATCAATACTTACAAAACTACAATATTTTTTCAAGTGAAATGCATGTACAGACATAATTTTAAATTTTAAATACCATTTTTCAACTTGTGTACGGGTAAAATCGGGGTTTACGCACACCCGATTTTTCGGAGGATCAAACGAAGTAAGAGTATATGAGATCGAAATCGAAGCTGGGAACTCATTGTATCAAGGCCCGAACGGAGTGCTCACCATCAGACCTGATAAGACAACACTCCTCGAACCCAGAATGAGCTCCAAGACCTCGAAAAACATGGCAAACAGTTGCACACGACTAACAGGGCCGTGATATTCGCACCCAACCGGATATCAGGGCGCAGATCTCGTCCGATATCGGTAACAAATCAGTAATTAACGAAAAAAGAGGATTTTTACCATTTTTTTTTAGAATTGTACTAAGGATGAAATTATCCTGCTATATAAAGGGAAAGATTTTATTTAATGGGGGACATTGTAACACGCACACCAAGGCAATATAAACTCATTTTTCTGCTTACTAACCATTGCAAAGTTCTTATTTTATTGTTGGTCTTCCCACTCAATTAGTCTCGAACCAAAGACTGAACCGAGGGCAAAAATTATTGCCTAGCGTAAGCTCGCGTTGCGCCAGTACACTGCAACTGGTTTAATTATCTATTTATCTTTCACTCATTTGTTTAATATCTTTGATTATTTGTGTTAAATCAGTCCATATATCTTTAAAATAGCGTATAAATTTAATTGTTATCCATTTTAAGGGTAAACACAACTTAATTCCAAATACTGTTTCTTTTCAAAAATCACAACTTTTTATGTGCTGTATCTTCCATAACCAAAAAAAAAAAAAAAAGATCAA